TCCCACCTCACTCAAATGTAGATATAAAAATCAGAGATACGTTCTAATCAGTTGTGTATTTGTGAAGTCTTTGAAAATGTAATAAGTTTTACGAAACGCGCCCGTGTCGCGTCAGACTAGAAATAAAAATGAATTTTGGAGAAGTGATTTTTGATTTACCTCCAACAGTGAAGCGTAATGTACGAAAGATTGAGAAAATTCGTGTTAGAATTATTAATCTTACTTTTTCGGTCATATTTAATAATATATGTCTACAGGAAAGACTGCTACCAAAATATACTAATATATATATATATATATATATATATATATATATATATATATATATATATATATATATATATATATATATATATATATATATATATATATATATATCATTTATTTATTTTATTTAAATCAATCATTTATCACCGAGAAAATCATTTCTCGGTGATATATGATAGATATAAAAATATATATATTGGATCATTGACTATTACGACCTTTTTAATATACTCACCAAGTTATGCTTGCCCCGGAGGTTGAGCTTCGGCTCTTTGGTCCCGCCTCCTATCAATCAACAGGTTGTTCAGATGCCTGAGATGTCTGTATGTGACAGACATGACAGACAGTGATGGCACAAATCCCAGACAGTAACAGCCAGCCTTGTGCTATCACTGTATTTGCTATCTTTGTTAATATACAGTACAAGTCACTACATTTCTCGGTGAGAAAGATGAACACCCAGAAAAATCTACGAAAGATGTACACCCAGAAAAATCTACGAAAGATGTACACCCAGAAAAATCTACGAAAGATGTACACCCAGAAAAATCTACGAAAGATGAACACCCAGAAAAATCTACGAAAGATGTACACCCAGAAAAATTTACGAAAGATGAACACCCAGAAAAATCTACGAAAGATGAACACCCAGAAAAATCTACGAAAGATGTACACCCAGAAAAATCTACGAAAGATGTACACCCAGAAAAATTTACGAAAGATGTACACCCAGAAAAATCTACGAAAGATGTACACCCAGACATAGAAAATTCAGCTAACATGCAGTTTTTGACGCATTAATTCGTGTTTTGCTGTCTCCAGGAGTTCTTGATTCCCATTCACTCAACCTTCTTCAATCATAAGTTTGAAAAACAAAATTAAAATCCATTTTTCGAAACAAAATATTTTGAAGGAATATGAAAAACATGCTCGAATCCGCTCGCCAGTCGGATCCGAATACGGATTTTAATCCGCTTAAAAGACAAATTTGTCCAAAGCCAACCTTAAATTCTTAAATTTCGAGTTCGCTTTCGAAGAAGAATTTTCGGGGCGATGCTCAATCCGGATCCCAGATCGTTCTCGAGCGAGGAACGCTCAAGGGAGAGCTTAATCCGGATTTAGACTTCAATCATGGAGGAGTATCTTGAAGCAAACGTTAAGGAATCACCAACTGGAGGAGAGAGAGAGAGACAAGTCACTGACTTGGAAGGGTGGAAAAGACGTCCCTTCCACTACTGTTGGACGAGACGGGCGCGACGCAATCTTCCTCCCGACCCACGCCGCTAAGACGCATTTCCTTAAAGACGCATACCGCCGCGACGCAAAGAGACGCACTAATGAGACAGTGTGCGGTGCGTTCATGCGGGGTGCTCGAGCAGTGTCTTAGGCCCGTCTTCAGCTCCGTCTACACATATATATCTCCAGGGGAGGTAATGACTCTGTCTGGGAGTCCACTTAGCTTAATGTCCTCATAAGGCTAGTCCGGGCCTTATGCTATTTCAGTGGGATAATTAACGCCAGGAACCTCCTAGGCACTCCCATGGTGTCCTCCCATGGTGGTGTTCTCCCATGGTATCCTCCCATGGTGGTGCCCTCCCATGGTGGTGTTCTCCCATATGGTGTTCTCCCATGGTGGTGAACTTCCATGGTGGTGTTCTCCCATGGTGGTGCCCTCCCATGGTGGTGTTTTCCCATGGTGGTGCCCTCCCATGGTAGTGTTCTCCCATGGTGGTGTTCTCCCATGGTGGTGAACTTCAATGGTGGTGTTCTCCCATGGTGGTGCCCTCCCATGGTGGTGTTCTCCCATGATGGTGTTCTCCCATGGTGGTGAGCTTCCATGGTAGTGTTCTCCCATGGTGGTGTCCTCCCATGGTGGTGTCCTCCCATGGTGGTGTCCTCCCATGGTGGTGTTCTCCAATGGTGGTGTTCTCCCATGGTGGTGTTCTCCAATGGTGGTGTTCTCCCATGGTGGTGTCCTCCCATGGTGGTGTCCTCCCATGGTGGTGTCCTCCCATGATGGTGTTCTCCCATGGTGGTGTTCTCCCATGGTGGTGCCCTCCCATGGTGGTGTTCTTCCATGGTGGTGTTTTTCCATGGTGGTGTCCTCCCATGGTAGTACCCTCCCATGGTGGTGTTCCCCCATGGTGGTGTCCTCCCATGGTGGTGTCCCCCCATGGTGGTGTTCTCCCATGGTAGTGTCCTCCCATGGTAGTCTTCTCCCATGGTAGTGTCC